GAGGAACGCGAGCAAAGCAGCGTCGGATGCCAGAGACAGAGGACGGAGAGAAAAAGAGGGAGGAAGGAGGGGGTGTAGGTCTAGGGTTTTACTGAGATGCGTCAGGGAGTGAGATGCGGCAGGGGAAGAAGAAGATGAGTTAAAGTGTTAGGGTTTCAAATTTTATTAACCTTTTTAAACAATTTTTTTCTCTCTCCTCGTTGCCTGTGAAAGGACACACTTGGAATTATAATTTTTTTTGGAGGTGCAGGACGAGGGTGGTGAGGTGCAGGGAGAATGACTCAAACATCATAAAGATACTATTGCAAAATTTTGAATAAAAAATTAAAATATTATTAATAATGCTTTGAAATTCAGATGGTGCAATTTTTTAATCGTATTGGCATTATATTCCATTTATAATGTCCAAATAGTACTGTGCGGTTTTGTATTTTATTTTTTTTAGTAGTTTCGTTTGATAGTATCCAGATTTAATGTCAAACTTGGAAAAATTACCACATATAATTTATTTAGTAGTGATGTTATTTGATATCCTAGTTAAGCTGATTTTTAAAATTAAGTTTTATTTTTTTTCCATTTAATAGGTGGATTTTTAAAATATTCCCCTCCCAAAAGTGTACATAAATTGGGTTGGGATAGAGTTAGGGTGAGAAAAAACTAAATTAGTTTATTTTTAATATATTTTCAATAATTCCTTTCGTTTGTTTTATATTTTTGTGAAGCAGTTTTTACATGATATTTTATTAATATATATTTTTGCTTTTTTACTCAAAACACCTTTATACAAGGTTGGATACTCAATAAAAAATTATAGTTAATTTTATTGCATAAAGATAGCTTTTTATCATCTAATAAAAAGGAGGTAATTTTGATAAAAATTAGTACGATGATTATTTTGTATATATTTTAAAAAAAGAAAATTAATTTATATTTTCTTCTAATATATTATTCTTAAAGAATTCAAAATAATTTTTTAATTTCAATCATATTTAGGATACATAATTTCATTATTTTGAAAAGTTAAAAAATTATGTTTGTTTAAACTTAAAAATAAGATAATTTTGAAAAAAAATGTTAAAAGTAAGTATTTTTTTACAAGAAATTACTTATATTTAGATACTACTGTAAAAGCAATTTTTTATGTTATTTTTTTTGTTTTGAAAGTTTTTATTAACTTACTTTTATAAACTATTTAAAAAGATTATATATAAATAAGTTTTTAACTATAATAAGCATGTTTCAAATTAAAATGAAATGATTTTTTCTCGAAAGAATCATATAAAAATCAAATAAGTTATTACTTTTATACCACCGTGTTAATATAACCTAAATATTTTTGTATATCAAAATTGAATAAAAGTACACAAAATTTTATAAAAATTAAAAAAGGTAAAAAAATAAATTTTGATACATTTGTATAATTTAATTCAAAAACGCGTTATTAGTGAATATGATTAAGTTATAACATTAATTAAATTAATATATTAATGTAATAAAAAAACTTTTAAATATTATTAGAAATATATTATTATAAACAAAATAGTCAGCATCTTAAAAGAAGGTCTATATACTAAACGAACAATATTTTAACACTGTCTACGTGTCATTCTGTGATTAGTCCAAAATTATTCCACAATCAATAATAATAATCATAAACACCAATATAAACCAATCACAGAATGACACGTAAACAATGTTAAAATGTTGTCAAAAAAATGTTGTCAAAGTATCATTATCCATACTAGACTGATCCTAAGTCAAAACTTGATATTAGACTCTTTGAATTTTTTTAGTAAGATTTTTTTGATCTTTAGGTTTTTCTTCCCCAACCCATATAGACTAAAGTCAAGTCTATCAGATGGATTAATTTGATAACTGTATTATTTATTTATTACATGATTTAAAGATTTATAATTAATGAGTATGTCTCTCTAATTCATTAGCATTGTTTACATAGAAGGCGATATTATTTTAGAAAAAAAGTATAGTAAACTACGGTAACAATCACCAATATTTTATCAAATTACATTTTATAATTCTTACTCTTTTCATCATTAAAATGATATGCCCCCCTTTCAGAAATTGTAAATGTAATATTTTAAAATTTTTAAAAGTGTATGCGTAAATTAACATGGCCATCAGGGTTAACTTATATTACTTAGACACAGTAAAAAAAAACTTCTGTCTAGTTCATACACTTAATTATACCAATAATTCAACATCGTTTAAAACTTGAATATAAAGATAATTTAAATATAATTTACTCCTTTAACCTTCTAAGATATTTTTTTAAGAACATACCCACAGAATTTTCAAAGAAATTTTGAAACAGATAACACCTTAAATGTAATAATTAACTTTAATAATATTATATCAACAAATTTAAAATCGAAATAAAACTCTTCAACTAAACTGCATTTTATATATGTATCATTTCTCTTTCGATCGATCGGTGACTTCATGAAATTTGAAAAATCCAGATGAAGAAATATTTGGTACCTATTTTATTCTCATACATATCAAATCAGTTCATTGTCATTTCAATGCCATTAGTACTGCTTGGAAGAGCCCTCTGGCCTTTGAAATTACACATGGATACCATGTGCTGAGGACCACATGTAGTGAAAAACAACTCAGCAGTGTTTTTTACACCAATGGCCAATAGTCAAATTTTGAAACTGATAAGCTCTGAGATTGTTTGCTAGCAGACAAATCTGAAGATAGAGCTTGTGGATGGCACGCAACTAGGGAAGTTTTTGCCTGTGTATATGTCATGGATGATGCTACGCGTGTAGAAATAGACTAAAGTTGCACTTGCATAAATAGTTTAATCAAACACATTTAATAATAGATCAGAGTTGATTTATTAACTGTGACTATAAAATGTATAGGAATATCTTGAGAAGGGTTCATTTTGGTGAGTTGTTCTCTGAACATAAAAAGTAAAAAATTACTTATGAATACTTAGAGGTTTAAATATGTTCTAAATTCCGCTATATTTTGCTATATGTGCAGGAACAGAAACACATAGGTGTTGGATGGGAACCAAAATAAGTGATGATAAATATTACAGAGATTTAACATATATATCTTCTTACAGAGAATAACAGTAAAAATATATAAACGAGATCTTTATTAGAAATCTCACATCAAACTAAAAATAAAACAAATTTACATGTAAACTTCATCTTAAAAACCAATCAGCTCTTTAGAAATGAATTAAACTTAAAGTTCTTAACCATATTAAAGTCAGTTTTTCTTAACACTTCCTAATTAATAAAAAAATCTGTATAATCAAATAGTTGTAGATTTGTAGAGTTGGGGTAAGCACTGCTCATATTCCATTTATGCAAAAACATCTTCACTAACATGACAGTATAGTACATTGTAGGCACGTTGATTTTGAATCTGTGGGTTAATTTGTAATCTGTACTGAACGCTGGTATTCTGTGATCAGTATCCATGTTGTTTACAACTCCATCTAAATTTTAATGAAAATCTCATTTGACTAACTGAGATTCCAAAAGCAACCGTTCCAATCCTTCCATTTCAAATTGAGCTTTTAAATTAAGACATCTCAATTTACAATTGGACTCAACTGAAATTCACTGAAAAGGCTTTTTAAATTTACTTTTTAAATGGTCATTGGAGATCTCCTGACAGAAAACCAAACATACCCTAGATGATCAAGGACGAAAGGGAAAATTCACTTTCACCAAATTACAACGTTCAAGTAAAAGGGCAATATTTGAAGTGCATATTTGAATACTACTTGCAAATTACAATAACCATTCACGCAAAAAGAGATAGAAAGAGCCCACAAGAACAAACAGGGATTTAACTGATTGTAAAAGCTATTAACAAACATGATGCAAGGTTTTAGAACTTATCTACGCATACACCATCTCTTGTAAACTCATATGCTTCCCTACTCCTTGTTTTCTTCATGCCAGCTGTCACATAAAGTTTTGATCCCTCTGACATAATGGTTGTCACTTTCACCCAGATCAACACTTTTGTCTTCATTCCTTCTATCTCTGCTAGCTTTCCTTTCTCCAAATAACAGGTCACAGTGGTGAAGAAACGCAAGACTGATGAATCCTTGTAGCCTACTTCACATACCTGAGGAATGTAAACGATGAGCTTCCTAGTCTCTTCATTGAATTCATAGTTTGTTGCATCACGAGGAAAGATTCCAATTGGTAGATCATACTCCTTTAGCAACTCTGGTAATGGCTTTTGCATCTTCCCTGTAACGTGATTTCTGTGAGAGCTCAAACGTAATATCAATTAAAATAAAAACGGGATATCAGGGATGACATTCCAATTTTATTACCTTTCCTCAAGTATTATGATGAAAGTAAATATATTTGAAAAGGGTTGATAAGAGTTAAGCATGTTTCCAAAATCCATGAAAGTGGGATGGTAAACCCAAATACCCAATAAATAATTAGTAATACATTGAGACTCAATAAGCATGCAATTTATAACTTAAGAAATAATGATTGGATAGAAAGACTGTATGCAACCTGAATTATTAATTTCAAATACAAATTTCATTTTCATCGGTTGTAAATTCCAAATTAAAACTCTAAGTAACACTACAATAATGATATTAATGTACTTTTGTGTGACCTTCAAGGAAGATATCTGTCTGTATTTTATAAATACTAACAGTGATATGTCAAATGGCACCATGAGAATTTAAATCATGTGCTCGTGTAATGAAACATTCAAGAAATGGAGAAATAAGGCAGAAGTATTGGTGGTTTGACATCATTAATGTGTTTAGATAAATTATGTTATCCAGATTATAGAAGTAAAGATAGTAGACCATATAACCAAAATTGTAAAAGGAAAGGTTAATGCAACATACTGGAAAAGTGATTATCAAGAGGAAATGAAATTCGAGGAAGGAAATTATTAATGTAAACCGAGTGTAAGGCACTCAACACAGCTGGAGGGAAATATGGACTAGTATGCATATATAAAGGAGAGGTGAAAAATAGGAGGCTATGAGTGAGGGTGTATGCAGGTCCTCTTGGATACTGTTACCCATTACCAGTTTCAGTTCTCTGTCTTCCATTCCAGAGACACCATACAGGTATAGATAAAACATTGATGTCAGTATCCACATTACAAAAGAATAGATTCACCATAACAGAGTATGTTTTGATCTACTTTCTGTCAACTCTTTTACATGGCATTACGTGGATAAATTAAGTGAAATCTTTTACAGCAACACTTGTAGGATGAATGTTCGAGTACTGATTAGATAAGAAATACAAACCTTTTATTTTGTTGACCAACCATTTGGTTCCCCCTTCAATACTGTTTGACAACGACTGATCATCAAAAGAAAATGTGTCAGCATAGAAATTAATCAACCAATGATCATTCTTCGTAAACATTTAGCACATTCTAGCAGTAGCAGAAACATTTCCATTCACAGTTGAACATACGAGAGGGTAAATTATTTCTTACAAGATGAGGTTTGTAACAGAGATGATGAAGGATTACCTAAATTTCTTTCAATTTATCAGCATGCAGGTAAATCGTGCTTAAACACTTAATGCTTGCACCTTTCCCACTAATCATCTCAAACATGCGCGAATATTAGATGCTGAGTAAACAACGGTATTAATCAGCCAACACGCCTTTATTAAGTTAAAATCTTTCAAAGCACATGACAGTTAAAACTCATTTTAACCATATCCTGTCATAATTATACACATTCTAGCCATAAAAGACATTAGACTTTAGCCTATAATGTGACATCACTTAGCATGATCGATCGAAGTAAGAGAATTGTTTTTCATGTCTCATCTCTCTGAATCTTAAATTGATCCTTGAAACATGCTCTCACAAAATTTTATTTACTTGGACAACCAAATAACAGCTTCTCCACCTTCCATTGTACATTCTCAACACAAATTTCCAAACTAAGCATTCAACTCTATATTCCTATGCTAAAATGATCCAATCATCATTCAGTAAACCGATACACCACACATTCAATTTCCCACTGTAGTTATTACAATTTACACCCAACCAAAATTGATCAAATGTAACCTAAAAGCAGGATTCCAATTTGCATAGGATGCCATGCAACAATCCAAAATCCTAATAAATTCACATTTTTTTCCGAATAGCGGGATGATCACATAAAAATCAACAACAACAATTCATGTTATACTTGAATTCAGGAAATTCCCTTTTGACCATGATGAAAAAGAAGAGAAATTTTGAAAGAAAAAGGAAAAAGGGTGGAGAGGGAGGGTACATTGATGTCGTCACCGACGGAATTGAGTTGGCTGGTGGCTTTCTGGTTGAACCAATAGGATCCGACCTTGTTGAATACCTGATCCATTTCGGTCAACAACGTTTGATTTCGATCCCAGAGGAACTTTCTCTCTCTGTCTCTCTTCTTCCTTCAGATAAAGAGAAAGAGAGAGAAAACACAAACGTGATGGAGAAGAAGTACGTGGCTCCTTATTCGCTCGGAGTTTTTCGTCACACTCGATAACTATTTATTTATTATTTTATGGTTTATCACCTCTTTTGGTTTTATTAATCTCAATTATTTATTCATCTTCTCTTATTTCATTTGTCGTATTGGACTACGTTTCTTTATCTCAAAGTTGTTTGACACTCTAAATAGTAATTTTATTTTGATAATATTAGCGAAAACATAAACTTCATTATTATATTCAAATTTTGGAAATTTTAAAAAAGAAAATTTAAGTTGTTATTAGACATTGTAATTACAAATTTATAAAAAATAAATTTTTAAATTATAATTTAAATTATTTTATGTATTTATTTAATGTAAAAAATATTAAAAATTAAAAATTAAAAATTTAATGGACAATTACAAAAAGGTTAACAATTATTTATCTTGTCTTATATATGGAGGAAGTAATTACAAAAAACGATTTAGAAAATAAAAATTGTGTACCAAATAAGAGAATTTTATATTATATAATGACAAATGTTACTACGTGGAGAAAATAATTATATATGAAGGTAATTTTGAAAAAAGAAATTATATATACAATTAATAGAATCTCATATTATCATAAATTATTAATATTAAAATAGGAAGTTCACTAGTAAAAAACTGGTCTTTTAACGCGCTATATATGTCTCAATTTTATTGAAACTGAAGCGTATAAAAGCTCAATGATATTTTTGTAGTTTTAGAAAAAGTTATATGAACCGAAGGGTGAGAGATTTACTGTCTCGGTTAGGTCAGCAACTGAGGCATAAAGTATTGCCAACTCACCCTACTATCACTTATATAAGCTGACATACTTTATAAATAACATATATTGCTTCGGTTACACTTATAACTCAGGCCTAAACTCTAACACACACCTTCTGCTCCTCTGCAAATCAGTTGCACATAAAAAACTTTTCTGATTGACAAGGATACTGCCTCGGTTATATTTAGAACTAAGGTAGAAAGAGTGCCCGCTACTGCATCAGTTTGTTGGGAACCGAGTCAATATGGTCTTATAGCATCGGTTAGGCACCAACCGAGGCATATAAGGTGAATATACTTTCAAAATTGCCATTATATATTTCATTTTTTAATTACTTTTTGACAATTTAGGCATCGGTTAAGCTAATAACCGAGACAGTATGCCTATATTACTTTGGTTAAGTTTGGAATCGAGGCAGTATAGCGTATTATAATCTCAGAAGTTACGTTTTTGCACTATTCCTCTTCTTCTCGCGCAAACTCTCCTTTTCTTTAATTGTTCTCCAACCACCTTGAAATAGTGTCGTCGCTCCGTGGCCACCACTCCGCCGCTGTTCTCGCGCAAGATTCAGCCTCGCATTGCCTCGCCGCCTGCTTCTCGTTGCTGCCTCGCCGCCGCACTGTCGCTGGCGTGCCGCCTCCACACCATTGCCATTGTGCTCCCTCATAGCACCTTTGCCTCCGTTGTCGTGCCTCCTCTCTTCACGTGGCAACCACAGTTCTCCTTTCTTCACATGGTAAGTTCTCTTTGCTTGCATATTTTTTTTTTGTTTTTCATTTTCAGAACGATGGAAATAGCAATGGTAGTGTTTGTTGATGATAATTTGGGAGAAAGAGGGTTTAGCCATATGAATTAAGGATATTAAAATTAGGTGAATAAAATTTTGAAGATAGGGATTTAGAAATTAGGAATATAGAAATTAGAGAAATAGAAATTGGGGATATTTTTTAATTAAGGATATAGAATTAGGGGAATATATTTTTGGTTTATATTTTTTAATTAAAGATATGCAAATTAGAGAATAATATTTTGAATTGTTTGTACTACATTGGTTGATATGGTGATAAAATAAACTTTAAGGATGTTAGGAATCATGAGACTAATTAATGTGTTGTTTGTTTTTGTCTAGATATTATATTTTTGTGGTGAGGGACATTCATCATTGTTGACCGACTTTCACGCTCCTAGGTTCCTATTCTTAATTTTTTTCCTTTTAATATGAACATGTTATTATTTGTTTGCTTGAATATATTGTATGTTGCATATGTATTATTTGTTTGGTTGAATATATTGTTGTTGTGANTGAACGCTGGTATTCTGTGATCAGTATCCATGTTGTTTACAACTCCATCTAAATTTTAATGAAAATCTCATTTGACTAACTGAGATTCCAAAAGCAACCGTTCCAATCCTTCCATTTCAAATTGAGCTTTTAAATTAAGACATCTCAATTTACAATTGGACTCAACTGAAATTCACTGAAAAGGCTTTTTAAATTTACTTTTTAAATGGTCATTGGAGATCTCCTGACAGAAAACCAAACATACCCTAGATGATCAAGGACGAAAGGGACATTTCACTTTCACCAAATTACAACGTTCAAGTAAAAGGGCAATATTTGAAGTGCATATTTGAATACTACTTGCAAATTACAATAACCATTCACGCAAAAAGAGATAGAAAGAGCCCACAAGAACAAACAGGGATTTAACTGATTGTAAAAGCTATTAACAAACATGATGCAAGGTTTTAGAACTTATCTACGCATACACCATCTCTTGTAAACTCATATGCTTCCCTACTCCTTGTTTTCTTCATGCCAGCTGTCACATAAAGTTTTGATCCCTCTGACATAATGGTTGTCACTTTCACCCAGATCAACACTTTTGTCTTCATTCCTTCTATCTCTGCTAGCTTTCCTTTCTCCAAATAACAGGTCACAGTGGTGAAGAAACGCAAGACTGATGAATCCTTGTAGCCTACTTCACATACCTGAGGAATGTAAACGATGAGCTTCCTAGTCTCTTCATTGAATTCATAGTTTGTTGCATCACGAGGAAAGATTCCAATTGGTAGATCATACTCCTTTAGCAACTCTGGTAATGGCTTTTGCATCTTCCCTGTAACGTGATTTCTGTGAGAGCTCAAACGTAATATCAATTAAAATAAAAACGGGATATCAGGGATTACATTCCAATTTTATTACCTTTCCTCAAGTATTATGATGAAAGTAAATATATGTTGAAAAGGGTTGATAAGAGTTAAGCATGTTTCCAAAATCCATGAAAGTGGGATGGTAAACCCAAATACCCAATAAATAATTAGTAATACATTGAGACTCAATAAGCTTGCAATTTATAACTTAAGAAATAATGATTGGATAGAAAGACTGTATGCAACCTGAATTATTAATTTCAAATACAAATTTCATTTTCATCGGTTGTAAATTCCAAATTAAAACTCTAAGTAACACTACAATAATGATATTAATGTACTTTTGTGTGACCTTCAAGGAAGATATCTGTCTGTATTT